CAGAAATCTTTTAATAAGCCCTCCAGGCGATGAGGAAAGCTCAAATTAGAGATTCGTGGCTTCAGACTGTAAGAGCAGGTTTTATGTCTGTTGCTCAAAATTTTATACCTCAGCATCTTGTGCTGGTAATCAGTGATTCATGAGAGCATACTCATAGTAATTATAACAAAAAATTGAATCCTAGTCTATTTTTATTTATTTATTTTGCTTAGCGGCTATACCTGGCTCTGTTCTCAGGAATGACAGTGCTCAGGAGACTATATGTGGTGCTAGGGTTTAGAACCAAGGTAGGCCAAATGCAATACAAGCGATATAACCCCTGTATTATCTCTCTGGTCTCCAAACTTTCTTCCATCTCTTCCTTCCTTCCTTCCTTCCTTCCTTCCTTCCTTCCTTCCTTCCTTCCTTCCTTCCTCCCTCCCTCCCTCCCTCCCTCCCTTCTTCCATTCCTCCCTTCCTTCCTTCCTCCCTTCCTTCCTTCCTCCCTTCCTCCCTTTATTCTTGGTTTGGACCACATCTAGCAGTGCTCAGAGCTTACTCTTGACTCTTTTGCTCAGGAATCACTCCCGGTGATGCTCAGGAGACCATGGATGGTGCTAGAGATTGAACCAAGGTTGACCACATGCAAGGCAAGCACCATACACTGTACTATCTCTTTGGCTCCCTGACTTACTTTTAGAGGAGAAAATAATTTTACACTGGTGTGTTTAATATAACCAGAAATTCAAGTAAACCCCATAAGTGCAATCTATCATTTAGTCTTCAAACTTTGAGTTCACCAGACTTTCTTCAATTAATTTAATCTTTTAAAAATGTTTTAGTTACCAGGGATCAGGGAGGCAGTAATAGGGAGTTAGTGTATTTTATTTTGTGTTGAGATGGCAGGGATCGGGCCCAATGCCTCATTCATACAGATGTGCACTTTACCACTGAGTTCCAACCTTGGCCTCTCTCAAACTTTCATTGGAGCGTTTTCATGTATTTGATACTTATTGCTTAAAACTGAAATGATTAAACTTATAAGAAATAGACAAAAGTAGACAAACTTATTAGGAGTAACTCATTATATGGCTCTTGATATGTCAATATATGCTTATAGAAGCTATAATACAAGAAAATTTAATAAATTATATTTTTCACAACTCTGGGGCTTTTTGTGACATGGAAACATATGATATATCCTATTTCTCTTCATAAAAATTTATTTTTTGCCAGGTCATCACATATGAATAATAAGGATTTAAAAGTAAGTAACAAAGAATCCACATGTAGAAAATATTTCTTGTTTTTTAAAGACATTGAGAAATTGGTCCAAACTGCTGCTTAAAAAATTCTGCCTCTTTGCATAGGGTGGAGGGTTTTAGGTACTTTGGAGCTGGTGGGGTGTGCTAATTTTTCATATCAAATTAACAAAAATGTTAATACTTGCCAGGTCACCCAATTATACTAGTGACCATGTCCTCTAAATTCATTAGAAAATTAATTTCAAAATTGAAATAAAAATAAAAGTTCTAATTTCTAAGTAATCATGTCAAAGGAGACACGTTATGTTTAATTAAGATTAAAGTTCATCAGAAATTAGTGCCCTCTTCTCCCTATAGACCTGCCATGCTGGGACTCCCTGGGAAACGCAGTGTTTGTTCCACTCATCAAGAGAAGACCCCAGTCCGGGAACTCAGGCCAATGGTGTCCAGCTAGCTTTGCAGGCAGGCGTAGAGGAGCAGTCTCTGGAATACTGGATCTTTGTGGCTGCCTCCTTTATTTAAGCAAAAAGTACCAAGGACCATTATTCCTTGGTAAAAGGAATAATGCATATTGGGTGAATAGTTTGGGCTGGAGTAGCACAGCGGGTAGTATGTTTGCCTTGCACGTGGCTGACCCGGCTTCAATTCCTCTGTACCTCTTGAAGAGCTCTGCAAGCTGAGAGTATCCAGCCTGCACGGCAGAGCCCGGCAAGCTCCCCTTGGTGTATTCGATATGCCCAAAACAGTAACAAGTCTCACAATGGAGTCATTACTAGTGCCCGCTCGAGCAAATCGATGAACAACGGGACGACAGTGCTACAGTGCTACAACTATCTGAGAGTGGCATATCTTTGTTATTCAAATTTATAAAATGTACTTATTAATCATCCCTGCATAGGAAGAAAATTATTTAAACAACAAATGCACAAGTGATTAACATGGATCAATTAAGGTCTCACTGTGATTTGGGGGTGATTTTATGGAAAAATAAATTAAGAAAGAAAAGCGATAAAGTATTAAAAGGAAACAAAAATGATTTACAATCACTAGTGTGTGAAATAAATGGTCATTTCAGTGACAATTCTTGATTTTTCTTATACTGAGTACACAAACAAACAAAAATAAGGCAATGTGAGGTCAGGGAGTTACATAAAATCAACCTGAATCAGTTGAGAATAGAACCAGCAGGTGAAGAAACCTGTTCTAGAGAACATTGAGGGTTTGAGGATGGGAGAACTAGAGGGAAAAAGATACACTAGAGGGCCAGAGAAATAGTGCAGAAGGTAAGGTGCTTGCTCGCCTTGCATTCTGAGGACCTTGGTTTGATCCCCAGCATTGCATTTGGTCTCCAGAGCCTCACTAGAAGTGATCTCTGAGCACAGAACCAGGAGTTAGCCCTGAGCACTACCAGAAGTCCAACAGCAAAACAAACAAGAAACAGAATTGGGAGGGCATGGCATCTTCTGTGACATTTGACTTGAGTTTTTGTCAGAGGATAAGATCTTAGTTCATGGAGTTCATGAATGAGTGCAGACAGCAGATGGAACATTGCTGTGTGAGTTGGAAGTGCTCTTAAGGGTGCATCTAATGGTTTCTGGGAGAAAGGTCGTGGCTTCCTCAGGAATCCAGGAAGTCAAGAGTTGTTGTGTCACAGCTGAAGTAAATGAAGGGAAAAGAAATATCTGACTCCCGCTGAGAAGTGAGGCCCGGGAGTCATTTAGCAATGTATCAGCCTGGGCAGATGGGAATCTTCATTTCATGACCTGAAATGAGTCAAGCACTGGTAACAGGAAAATATACAAATGCATTCACACATGCTTCTCCCATGCCTGTACTATTTCTTCTCTGAACTTCCAGTCCATGTGATAAATTTATTTTCCTAGTTGGACAAACTTGTATTATACTGTTCAGAATAACATACATATATGTATAAGTATAATAACAGTATATATTATATTGTTCAGAAGACACATAAGAAAAAAGGAATGCTGTGCAGATTCAGGGTTACTATCTTTAAACACACTGCCCCCTCTTCATAATTTTCCTTAGGAGGCAGCAAATACAATCAAAATATTAGCACAAAATATTCTTAGTAAGAGGCTGGAGCGATAGCACAGCGGTAGGGCATTTGCCTTGCACGCGGCCAACCAGACCGACCCAGGTTCAATTCTTTTGCTCCTCTCCGAGGGCCTGGCAAGCTACTAAGAGTATCTCGCCTGCAAGGCAAAGCCTGGCAAGCTACCCGTGGCGTACTCAATATGCCAAACACAGTAACAAGTCTCACAATGGAGACGTTACTGGGCCCGCTCAAGCAAGACGATGAACAATGGGAGGACAGTGGCCAGTGGAATCTTAGAAAGACCCTGTTCTTCACCTTCTCTCCCTCTCAAGTAGGTTCCCATTCCTTACCATTTTACTCATCACCTCTCCAATTTTCTTTATAATATCTCTACTTTATAATCTCTCTACTTCTACAAGAAAATCTTCTGCTCTTCTTACATTCTTCTTTTTCTGGAACTTTCATCTTCTTTAATTTTTTTTTCTAACACTAACTTCTGACTGAGACCTTCCTTGGACCATTTTATATGAAATCAGAACCCTTCCTATTGTGCATAAGCAGCACACATTATTTCTTTCACTGTTTATTTATTTATTTATTATTTTTTGTGGGGGTTACTCCTGGCTCATACACTCAGGAATTACTCTTGGTGGTGTTCAGGGGACGATGCTAGGAATCAAATCCCAGTCGGCCGCATGCAACGCAAACACCCTATCCGCTGTGCTATTGCTCCAGCCCCTCTCCATTTTATTTTTAATACTTTTTTAGTTCTAGTAGTACATAAATACTTACTAATTATATATATATATATATATATATATATATATATATATATAAATTGTATCTGCCTTTCATAAGCTAACTCCATGAAGTCAAGTGTTTTGTTTGGTTCATGGCTGAATACTCAGAGTGCAAAGAGTGAGCAGTCAATACATATTTGATAGCACAAAGGTAGGGCGTTTGCCTTGCATGCAGCCAACATGGCCGACCTGAGTTCGATTCCTCCGCCCCTCTCGGAGAGCCTGGCAAGCTACTGAGAGGATCTCGCCCGCACGGCAGAGCTTGGCAAGCTACCCGTGACGTATTCGATATGCCAAACACAGTAACAACAAGTCTCATGATGGAGACGTTACTGGGCCCACTTGAGCAAATCGATGAACAACAGGAGGACCGTGACCATGACCGTGAAATATGTGAAGCCTCTATCTTTTGCTGCATGTCTTCTTCTCGCCTCTTATATTTCACACTTAGTCTCCAGTTGTGATTTTAATCCTGTTTATGGCATTTTTATTTGCTCTGCTTTCTTGTTACCCAATCCTGTATTATTTACATGTACTTCCTTCTGTCACTTACTTGGCTTTGTTTCTCTTCTTTGCATGGGTCATGTTCTGGTGCCGCAGGTATTGTTATTTTACTATTTAATCTTTCCCACCCTCAACTTCTGCTCTAGTTCAGCTAGACTTTGTCCTCATCTTTACTCTAAGAGTTTTCAAAGACTCCCTTTTTTATTCCCAAACCAAGTAAGTTGCTGGATGCTGAGCAGATAAAAATATAATCTAATGTTAATAGGAAAGTGTTCTAAAGAGCAAGGAAAGAGGGAAGGGAGAGAAAAGCTATTTTTAACCCTTAGTCTAGTTATTTGGCCATACTATTGATGACTGATTGAGTAGAATGACATTAAATGCAGGTATAGTTACTTGGTGATGAATGTCCTCTCATTGATGAAGATCCAAGAAGATTGGTGAGCCATCAGAGTAAACTTCTCCTTATAGAGATCATCTGAGGATATCCTAAAACATTGGAAAAATATTAATCATATGTTCCTGTGATACAATCATAGATTAATTTCTGACTTGAATTTATATGTATAACATATTTAGAGAAATTTTTCAAGTAGTATTTCACTTGTGGAAATATGATTTGGGTTAAGGTAGAACAAAAAAGTATTTTTAACCATGTACTTAAATTAAGTATGAAAAATTAAATTACTGAATTTACTTATATTCTACAAACCATTATATAGGTGCCATATCATTGAATCCTCAGGCACAGATGTTATTCCAGAAGGCATAGATATTATTCTCTCCAATTCAAATACTTTTAGTAAGTAGAGGAAAATTTAATTTGAAGTCAGTTCTAAATATTATCAAAGCTTCTACAATTTTCTTTTCACCAGATTTGTTCCATAATTTGGGAAAGTTTACATGAATACAATATATGAATACAATATTTCAGTTGTCACACCAGTGAGAATTGCATATATCAAAAAGACTGGAAACAATCAGTTTGGGGAAGAATGTGGAAAAGGAATATTCACAGTTAGTGGGGATGTTGTCTTGTTTAGTCTTTGTGAAAAACAGTGTGGAAGCTTCTAAAAAAAGTATGAATGGCACTCCCATTCCATGCAGCTATTTCTATTTTTCGCATCCACCCTCCCTCCACCAAACACAAAAACATTAATTAGAAAAGATATATAAACATCTGATTATAATAGTGCTTAGTACAATAGCTAGGACATGGAAATAACTCAAACTTCTAATAACAGATGAATAGATAAAAAAGTTATGGCACGCATACAAAAATGGAATAAGTAGGATGAAATCTTACAGTTCACCACAATTTGGATGGAACCATAGGATATCAAGTTAAGGGAAATTAGTCAATGGGAGAATGACACATAGCAGATGATTTCATTCATATATAGAGAGACAGATCAAGGGGGGAAAAACCAAAAGAGTTTTGAATGATGACAAATCCTTGGCCTTGGATTACAAAACTAAGATGAGCAAGTAATGATGGGAGGAAAAAGAAAGAAAGAAAGAAAAGGTTACTAGAAATAACATGAAGATCATGGTGGAGGGTTGTAGTGGAGTATAATGAGCTTAAGCATCAAAATTGCAAATGATAACATAAATTGCAACCATGTTACCTAAACTATAATTGATAATAATTATGATAATTTAAATTATTTTATGAATTGGTACATTCTAAGATATTTTTCTGTGTCTTAAAGAATTGAGGGTGAAGTGTAAAATCTGCTTCAAAATTTTCACTTGTAAGAAAAAAAGCTTAAACAGTAAATTTCAGTTTTGTTTAATTTTTTAGAATTGAGAATTTTAACTACAACTCACTTTCAGGGAGTTTATAAATGACATCATTAAAATCATTGTTTTCAAACATTTTACCACTGCAACTTGTGAGAACAACTGAAAATCTGTGATCTACACCTTTTTCTCATGAGTGTTCACATGACAGGTGTCTTTTTAAAAAAAAGTAACAATATGGTGTTTTTTTTTTCTATTTGCCTGAGGCTTCACATAAAGTTTAAAGTGTTTTCCTCTGTTTTTTACTATTTAATATATACTTTGGGAAAAACATACTTTATTTTTCACTAATATAAGTTTCCTGTTTTAACTGAAAATTATATTCTTAATAGAACTTAGGGAAAATAAATAGAAAAGGAAAGAGAATATATAATTTCATAAATCTCTATAGATATATATATTAAAGAGAACATAAATAAATATTAGAGTGAGAAAACATATGAGTTGATGTTATGTATCCCCTTTGGTAATCAATTTGAGAGAATAACAACTGTGTGACAAATAGACATAAAGAAAAAAGGCAGACAAGCAGTGAAGCAATTCTGCTAAGAAAATATCTTACAGGGCCAGAGCAACAGCACAGCGGGTAGGGCGTTTGCCTTGCACGCGGCTGACCTGAGTTCGATCCCTGGCATCCCATATGGTCCCCCAAGCACCGCCAGGAGTAATTCCTGAGTTCAGTGCCAGGAATAACCCCTGAGCATCGCTGGGTGTGACCCAAAAAGCAAAAAAGAAAAAAGAAAATATCGTACAAACTACTCTGCTCCCCCAATGCTAACGATTTGCAAATTTAAGAAAAAATCCTAAATCAAAGTTGTGCTGATAATCTATTTATATTTGATGGAAATATTAGTTATATTTTGGTAATGTCTGTACAATTATATACTAATGCATATACACATCAATAGAAATTAATGTATGTAAATAAGAATGAACATAGAGTATTCGATATGCCAGACACAGTAACAACAAAGTCTCCAATGGAGACGTTACTGGGCCCGCTCGAGCAAATATGTACAAATTTGGCATCAAACAATTAAGAGAAATCCGATTTATGAAACTTTGGTATTTTTTGGCATACATTCTAAGAACTTCTAAAGTTTTCAATTTATCACAGTTATGACACTGCCAGGTTTTAGTATTTAAGTTATCATCCTATTCCATCTTTTTCTAAATGTACAAATGTACGTGGGGGTCTTTGAAGCTTTAACTTCTTGGTCCAGGGCTTACTTTTTATTTAGAAGCATTAAAATTTAAAAGCAAAAACGTACATAAGGAATTCTGCCTGGCTGAAATAAGTTTCTGAAATCTAACTGGTTTTATATCTAATAATAACATTTCCAGAAACCTATGAACAATTTTTATATCTTGTTCAATTTTCAAGGCTTCTATAGTCCGAAGAGATATTCTGGAATCATTGAAATTCTTTTGGCAATATGGCAATATAAGATAGCTGCAGTAGATTGGGGCAATGTTTGATGGTACACAGAAATAGAAAAACGTACTCTGTACATTAAAAAACTACAAAACAAATCTGTGACAAGGAACAATAGATTAATTAGTAAGTTTTTGTAGTCATACTAGAAAGAATTTTTCCTGTATGATTCTGTGCAAGGGAACATATTTCTTCTGTTGCAGCAACTCAGCTCAAACTTGATGAACCCTGTCCCAGTCCCACAAATGCAATTTTAAGTTTCCAGGCAGCTAAAATCAAGTTTTGACTTGAAGGGTTGATTAAGTGTGACATAACATCTTGCCAGTCTCCTTCAGGCTTGAGAAACTGTGGTCATATGTAAATAATAATCTCCTTCATGTTTTCATAAAATTGGCATTAGGGTGTGACTAGGGATTTTAAGCATATTATATTCTAGTAATTTAATTTTTCAAAATTCAAATTTTTATTTGTTATTCAAGACTATAAGAAAACAGGAGATAAAAGCATAATAAAAAGAGCAGATAAAGAGAAAAAAATTTAAGCGAGTTTTTGTTTATGAAAATAGGGAAGGAAGTCAGGGAGCTAGCTGAGGGTCAAGAGTGTATCTTTCCCTGTAGTAGGAACAGAATTAAGCCCCAGTATCACATCTTTACATGGACTGGGATGGGAGTAACCCCAGTATCCCCCCAACACTGCTAGGTGTAGCCCTGGAGACTGGATTTGTTGTTGCTTTAGTGAACACAGGGTGCCAGGGATAGAATCCAGACTTTTTGCATGCAAACCATGTACCCAAGCTCATTGAGCTCTCTATATGGTACAAAATAAATTTTCTTTAACTTACTACTTTAGACTTAAGAATCGATGGAAAGTTACAAATATATATTAAATTAAAAATATGTGTTTAGTTCTAAACTAGAGAAGTTTTCTTTATACTCTTGACCTGGAAACTAGGGGGTGGGGTCGGGGTAGGGTTTGCAAAAAAAAAAAAAAAAAAAGCACAACCCCTAACACTGCTGACCAACAAAAATCATATGTGGTTATACTGGTATACTGTTAGGTGTTATGAAAAAGTCCAACATAAACTTATGATAAGAAAAAAAAAAACCTCTTCAATAAAATGGGGGATATAAGGAACATATTGCATCATAGTAAAATTCCCACAGCTAAGGTAAAAGGTAAAGGCCCTCCCGTTGATCGTCGATTTGCTCGAGCGGGCCCAGTAATGTCTCCATTGGAGACTTTGTTGTTACTGTGTCTGGCATATCGAGTACTCTCGGTAGCTTGCCGGGCTCTCCGAGAGGGGCGGAGGAATCGAACTCGGGTTGGCCATGTTGGCCGCTTGTAAGGCGAACGCCCTACCGCTGTGCTATCGCTCCAGCCCTGTGCTATCGCTCCAGCCCATAATATATTTAATATAAAATACTGAAAACTAAGTACAGGCAGAAGATAAATATTTCATTTTCACCACTATTATCCAACATAGTATTAATATTAGTGATTATAGTCGCAGGAATTAGTCAGAAAAAGACATCAAAGTAGTGACCAGCTACCAAGCCAACCTGCAAAAATCTATTGTATCACTGTTGCAAAAAAGTAACAGTGTAGAGAAAGAAGAGAAAAAATCCTTTTTGCTATCACGTAAAAAATAATAGAAGTACCAAGAAATCAACTTAACAAAGGAAGTAAAAGGTTTCTATACCAAAAACTGTCACTGTCACTGTCCTCCTGTTGTTCATCAACTAGTTGTTAAAAATAAATGGAAGAAAATACAAGGAAGAGATACATTCTATATTTATGGACTGAGAGAATTAACTTTGTTAAATGATCATCCTACCCAAACTATTATGCAGATTCAATGCAGCCTCTACAAAAAATCCAATGGTATTCTTCATAAAAATAGAACCTACTAACATTTATTTCGAACCACAAATGACCTCAAATAGTCAAGGCAATTCTACAACAAAAGTAAACCTTGGGCAGCATCACTGTCCCAATCATAACCTCTACCACAAATCTTTAGTAATCAGAACAGTGTGAGAACAGCAGGTGGGTGAAGCCCTGAGTCAGATTCCCAACATATCACACAAACACACACACACACACACACACACACACGTGCACGCTCACGAAAGAAGAAAGTGGTTCAAACTAGTGTTGAATGAAAGCAGAAAAACTACACATTGGAATAGAACTCAGAATCCAATGATAAATGTTCATATATATGTATATATATTTATGGCAAAGAAACCAA